TATTAAGAGACTTTCGGATGCATTTCTGCATCTGCATCTTAATGTTTCCGCCGCAAAATGCACACGACCTTTTTGAGCTCAAATATGGAAACTATGACGCGTAGACCTCGCGTTCCTATTAATCAAATATGCGCGAGAAAGAAGGTTTCTCTCTCTCTCTTTTTCTCTCGAAAAATGCCGCCTTTCGAAAAGGCGACGAATAAAGCGCTCATGAGAGAGCTACTTGTATTTTTTAAAATTAAGAAGTGCATCTTAAGGTCATGCCACGCGGATCAACATTAAGGGCCGTCTACATAAATCGCAAACGTAGAACGCAGTTCGCAGACGCATTTGTCACAGCCAATCAGAAGCATCAATGGTACTAATAATAGCTTTTCATTGGCTGTCGCAAATGCGCTACGAACTGTATTTGCGACTTATGTAGATAGCCCTTTAGAACAACGCCTATAGATATTCCGATAATCAGGGTTTATTCTCAAATATATTCCGAAACAAAAGTATATGCGGTTTCAAATATGGCGGTTGTCAAAACTTTATATTTATATTCTCCTTTCACAAAGTCTGTGCCCTTCGAAGTGAGCCAATGACCAATTAATTAATTGTAAATAGCTCGTTACTTCTATCAAATTATAATTATTGTTAAAAGTCGATTCGACTATAATCTTTGCGTGATCTATACAGATCACATGTGCATTTTACCTCTTCAAGAAGTATTATTTATCTTTCAACATCCTATACTATTATATCACTCGCATAAAACATAAAAAAGAAATGATTTCTTAATTCATATGATTGATCGGTTCTTGAGATGTTTGAGCTAAAGTAAATTGATTAATGTTGACCTTGGAAAAATTTCTCAAGATGTTTAATTATCACATGATGAGGATTAATTGTGTAAATTGAATCCAACGATATTTATCAAAATATGATTAAACGCACACTGCACATTGAGAAAAAATTTATGAAATTTTAATAAATATTTATTTGTATCTTAGTGCAATTTATTTACGGTAAATAAATATTTAGATAAATGAAAAATTGATAGTTATATCAAATGGTTATTGTATCTAGTGAATATATATGTTTAAATTTAGTAAATATTCGTCTTAATAGTATTCAAAGAAATATTTATCAAAATTTAATAAATTTAGTAAATTTTTTTCAATGCAGTAATGTTAAACGTTCGTCATGACCATGAAAATGTTAGAATATTGTGTTTTTAATAACTATGAAGCGTCCAGTGAAAAAAAAGTACTTACTATTAAAAATTTAAAGATAGAGTAGGAAGAGAAAGGAAGGAAAATAAAATTCGCGAATTAATCTTTTGCAAATAATTTTACAGCAAGGCGGAGCATATCACTGTCGCAATTATTAATTTATTAACGTCCTTAAAATTCTTGTTCGCTCAAGCATAACTATAAATTTCAGATACTGCATGTGATAATTTTCAATTGTTCTTATTTGATTGTTTAAAATGCTTTCATCTGTAAAAGTCATCAAATTTTAAAAACTTTAAATATATAGGTAAACTTTAAATATGATAGTAAAAATTCTCATTATTCGTATTATTTCGTATAATTGTATGTTACAAAGCATGTTTTTTCTGTCTAATTTATATGAATTTAATCAAATTCATTCGAAAATATTTTGTTTGTATTCTTTTTAAAGGAAAATTCGCTTTTTTAAGATATAGCGAGATATGACTGCATTTGAAACATTAAAATTTATGCGATTTTTATTCCCATAATTTCATACCGATCGCGTATCACCGTTTTCCTTGTGATTTTAATATCACTTTTTCCTTTTACAATTTCGTTGTTCTCTCGTCGCAAACGATCTAAACCAAAAGTGGGCAAGGTCCTTTTCTATTAAAGCGGAATGGTTTGTTATATTAAAAGTAATATAAAGAAGAATTTAAATAATAATATCAGAAGAATTTAAGGTGACAAATTTTAGGATTTAAAGTAATAATATGAATCAATAAAATAAAAAAATTTATCAAAGAATTCATACACAATAATAAACGCCTAATAGTATATGATATAAATTAATAATAATTAACCGCGTTTTTGATGTCATACTTCATAAAAAAATTTAATGAAAATCTAAACATGGAATGTAAACATGGAATATATATTTTTAATTGAATTTCTGTGTATAATTTGAAAGATTGTCATAATTTGCGAGACATCTCGAAAATACTGTTTTAAAAGATTGCCCACTTCTTATCTTGTGCCAATTTGAAGGAACATCACGCGACGAATAAGAATCAATTGCAACAATCTTTATAAGATCAGATCTAATTAGCAATGACTAGAAGATTATAATTCAGTCTATGATAATATTTAAAAAAATGTTTTCTAATTATATGAATCGATCATCAATTAATGTCGATGCAATCGGTGTAAAATGTCAAAAGCGAAAAGTTTATGTAACTCAGAATCTTAACGTATATCCGTAAATCACGTCGTATAGCAGAGCTGTCTAGGAGTTCACGAATTAACATTTCTCTCTTGCTCGTGCCCTATGTGTTCTTTTACGTTGAAGTTAGGCAGCTCTGTCATATAACATGGAAGAATATTTTCTAGAGTGTACAAAAATAGAATTAATATTACGGCTAACGTCTTTATGAATTGTTATTATGTTATAATTTTCAAGCTTCAAGTATATATATTTGTCATTATGTATAATTTATTATTTTTTAGAGAGATCATAATATTTACGATCAATGTTCAAAATTAAGATCAATGTTCAAAAATCAATGATCTCGATATATATTAAGAATACATCCCCGAGTAACATTCAAAAGATTTTAGCTATCGCTTGTTGTTTGTTTAAAAGTTATTCATAAAAAATGTAATACGAATGTTAGATCAACATCCCATACATCAATATCGCTGCAAAATCTCTGCAATATTGCTGTAACATGCAATGTTGTTGCAATGTTGCAGCAGCAACTGCAATTACTTGTGTGCAATTTTGGTGTGCTATAGAGGATTTATTATACAATATTACATATTTTTATTAACATTGTAATAGTGTTGAAAGTTAAAAACCTCGTATGGAAAGTGTATACTTGGTGGCAGTATGCCCCCCCCCCCCTTCTCTATGGAGGAATCATTGCAGCACTATTAAAACCTAGAAACATATAGATTTGGATTGAACTTCGCTTCCCGAACTTCGCTTCCTGGAAGTGAACCTAGAGATTTTGTTTCACGCATGATATATCATTTTATCCTTGTTGTTTACCTTGTTGTTCTC